TATCTATCTATCTATCTATCTATCTATCTATCTATCTATCTATCTATCTATCTATATATCTATCTATCTATCTATATATCTATATATCTATATATCTATATATCTATATATCTATATATCTATATATCTATATATATATATAGTGGCCGCATCGTCTTTATTCGAGAGGGTGGATTTTCGCTTTGAGAAATTGTAGTCCGCATGCTGTGTAATGCCGCAACAGTCATGCGTGTTTTGAAGAAATGAATATAGGTGAAACAAACGATGCGAAAACCTGGCAGTGGGGCACGCATTGGCACAATAATTTGGGACGACAGACACCTCCACATAACGAATAAGTACATTTATCCTTTCATTTTGCTTCGTTAGTAAATTTTATCTTATAACCGTCGCTTAACATCAGACCCAATTTTGAGTTTACGACTACCAGTGCTTAACTCTGCAACCTTGTAGTTTGGAGCCCAATCCAGAATACAATGGAACTCTTGGATCAAGTATTGAAAGAAAGTTGTTTCCGTGGTGTGCTTTATGATGGAACTTACATTAAATGGAGAGGAAAACCTTCTTCCCCGAAAACCTCACACGATTAGCCAGGCGGCAAGGGAAGTCTAACCCACATACCACTAAGGATATTTTACGTCTGCACCGTGGTCTGTGCGAGCACCAAAATCCGAAATTCATATCAACCAGCTATCACTAGGATCCGAACCCGGATCACATCATTGGAAGGTGTGCTGTATCCCCTGAACGCTTAATGCGTTCAGAGGAAAAAGTGCATTAAGTAATAAGAGTCATTATGACTCTCTTTTGAGCATTTTTTTAAAATTTTATTTAGTACCTATTACCAAAATTATTTAAGCAGCATTAACGTCAATAATAGATTGAAATTTTTGTACTCTTTCTTAAACGAATTAGTACTATTTTTTCAATAATTTTGTTTCGTGCATATTGCCTATTATTTTACTTCAATATTTAACTATTTCCGAAATTAATTATCAATGGTATCAATACTAATATTGGCATTTATTTACATTTATCCTCATCAATTAGTACCATTTCTCCATCAATTTTGATTTTCAGTACAAAACTTTTTTTCTATTTGATAACCGTCGATTTAAAATTATCAAGCTTTATAGTAGGAAGTTTTAAAAGCAAAACTATAAATAAAATAAACGCGTGGTTTAAAATAAACTTAAAGATATTAATTTGGTCACGTAGTCCGCCTATGCTACAATGATTGCGTTGATCATCCAGACAACCTGGCATGTTGAATAAATATTAAATCAAATAATTAAGTATTACAGAGCGCACAATAAACAACTTTTTTGATTAGAGCTATAAGCTAGCAAAGATCAAGGATGCTATCGTTAAAATATTTTACAAAACTGAATCGTCTCTAGTTTAATTTAAAACAAGGACTTCCGCTAAACTAATAAGAAAATAACACACAAATTCTCTATTTTATTTGGTGTATAGATTAGCAATCTGTTTAGTCACGATTCGCGGATTCACATTTAGTTCTACTATTTTTGGCCTCTGAACTCAGGGCATTAAGTAAAAAGGCAAATTGAAGGAGTAGCCAGGTGGCATTGAGGAGGGGATACAAAGGGAAAAAAAATGAATCTGCGTATTACGACTGAATGACGGATTAAGAGGAACGTTTTTCATGCATACCGGATCGGATGCAATGCAGCTCGGAACAACACGATCCCATCTACATAACTCAGTATCACGTGATTTCGTTGCTAAGCGTTGGATGATCAGCGTCGTGTCTGTATATTGGAAGTACACACAACGAATGTTTGACAATGAATCTTAAAACAATGATCACATTTTTCATTCTTCATGTTACATGAGTAGCATTTTACTCAAGCTCTTCATTTCTCTGTTCTTTTTATCATTTTAAGTTTTGACACAAAATAAAATTCATGTCCATCGGTGAGATGAAAGGGAAAATGCAGGGGGAAAAAATCAAACGAAACTTCTGAGGGTTTCTTACTTGTAACGTCCAAAGCAGTATCATAGTTCGAAGATGTTGGAAAGATTACATTTTGTGTGTCTGGCTCTTCAAATGTCTCTTCACCTGCAAGTTTTAATAGGTATATATAAAGATAGGAAGAAAAATATGATTTAAAAAAAACATGCAATATAAATGGAAATATTTCTATCTGGCAATATCTTCTCTCCTTTTTTTGTTAATTTTGACATCGTGAGCTTGTGAAGACCTCGAGGGAGAAAAATTAAACTTTCTTTAGCAAAAAAGCATCCCCGGAAAATTTTCTAAGATTAATATATACATTGAGGTGACAAAAGTCATGGGATACCTCTAAATATCGAGTCGGACCTTCCCTAGCTCTGAGAAATGCAGCGCAACTCGATGTGGCAAGTACTCAATAAGTACTTGGAAGCCTCTTGCAGGGATATTCAACCATGCAGCCTAAATAGATTACCTATAATTACGAAAGTGTTGCGGTGGCAAGATTTTGTGCCCGAATTGACCTCTCAATTATATCACATAAATGTTCGATAAGATTCATGCCTAGGTTGCCAAATCATTCGCTGGAATTTTCCAGAATGTTCTTCAAACCATTCACGAAAAATTAAGGGCTGGTGACGGGATGGCACATTGTCATTCATAAAAACTCGTTCGTTGTTTGGGTACATGACGTTCATAATTGGCTGCAAGTGGTCCCTAAATAGCTGAACAAGACAATTTAGAGTCAATGATCGGTGCCATTGGACCACAGGACGCATTCCATGCCACGAAAAAAAAAAACACCATTACGGAGCGATCACCAAATTGCCTTGTTGACTACTTGGGTCCATAACTTACGTGGGTGTGACTGTGAGCCATTCTCGCACTCTCCTATCAGTTCAGACCAGCTAAAAGTTTTACTCATCTGACCAAGCTACAGTTTTCCAGTTGTCTAGAAGCCAACTAATAAGGGTCACGAGCGCAGGAGAGGAGCAGGGCGTGATGTTAGAAAAGGCTCTCGCGTCAGTCTTTCGCCGCAATATCTTCTCATATGCAACTTCAGATATTTAATTCGTAGATTTGTAATTTTCCATTTTGGCATAAAAACTAATTTAATACTCGAACCTGCGACATTTGAATCTCACCAGAAAGTATGGGATTTCGCTTAAGTCGAATATAAGTACTTTTATTTTGATCTTCAAGATCTTAGTATGTAATTTTCATTTGACTCTTTTGGTTTCTTGCTTACCGGAGCTTTTTAGGGTATGGTTGTTTGTGGTATTTCACCACCAATCGCAAAAATTGCTCCAGCCTGCACTGACGGGATGGTAATGCCTCGCTAATGACGCTGTCATGTTTATCATTGCTTTCTATTTCCATTTTTGTTCTTTATTTTATGGCCATTTTCATGTTAAGTAGTGTTCGGATACTGGTTGGATTATGGATTATTCCAACTTTCATGTTATTGGTCGAGTCATTAATGTCGGGAAAGGGGTATGTGGTTCAGTGACCAGTATTTCTTAGATTAAGGATTTTGAAGGGAAAGGAACCGGGTATATTCTTTAGCGATATTCCCTACTTTATTGTTTTTCGTAATCTGGTATTTTGGTAATGTCCTAATAAGCATTTTGAAAAAATAATTTGTGTTAAATTTTTCAATAATTAAATAAAATCCGCGTGAAGTTAGTTGCGAACCTAATACATATTTTTGTTACAAAATGAGAAGACGTAGTAAGTAATATAAACGGAATAGCATTAGATTACATGGAGAATAACTAATTTCTGTTTGCTTTGCTGATGATACTGTCCTTTTCTCGGATAATAATAAGGAATTAAAAGAAAATGGTCTAATATTAAAGTAGGTCCTAAAATGATCCTTCAAAAAACAATTGCCATGTTTAATGCGCATTCTATGAAGAAAAAAAGGAATCAAAGAGATAGTGGAATTGCAGAGTTATGTTTATTTTTGACAAGAATTGCAGTAAATAACATCATGCATGGAATGAACAAAATATTTAATTTTAAGTTGGAATGTTTTTCTGTCAAGAATACGGGGTTAAACCAAAATGATACAAGAGACTGTTTAGATTCGCCGTTCAATTTACGCAGCTCTTATGGATACAGATTCCAACGGTGTTCGTTCCAACGGTAAATCAACATTATTGTTGTTTCTATCAATATAGACCAGGTAGATGACTCACCGAAGCGAATTTTGATTTGAAACCCGTGGTAAAATTTCCTATATCCCCATCACTATTTTATTGTATCATCATTTTATCAATGCGTTCGTAATCATTTGGGCTATAAGTGTAAATATCTTTGTGAGTCACTTGGGTTCACTTGAACTCAAATATTTTATTATAATTAAATCAAAATCTTTTTAAAGCTTACATAATAGATTTATACATAGATTTCTTTCTTAACTTGTTTTTCTTTCTATTTTTGAATCTCACCCTAGTCACAGTGAACATAAGGTATACCCCATTCGTTCTATGAGTTGCCGTAGTGCTAATCACAAGAGGGTTTAGAGGTTTTCCTCTGCTTTGATGAATACAAACACAGGTTAATTTCACCTTCCACAAAGGTGACATACTTTAGTTCCTGTCTTCTGTGTTGCGTTGTTAGTCTATACTGTTCTTATAAAAACTCGGATTCAGAGGTGCCCATCACAGATTTTTTATTTATTTAAAGAAAAGAAAGAAGTAATACCTGATCCGAAGAAGAGGGATTCGGACGGCCTGTTCCATCCGAAGTCGTTGTGAGCTTGCAGTACGACTTCGTAACGCTGATCTGGTACCAGTCCCGTCACATTGTAGGACTGAGAATAGAATATGCTGTGGGCATCTCCATCCACTGGGATCATGACGTCCGTCCAACCATCTCCGTCCTGAACACACAAATTAATTATACGTATCCTCTTAAAATACAGGGTATTTATAAAGTCCCGGACGCGTTTTGATGTTTAATAACTCATAAAATAATAAAGATAGCTTAAAATTAATAACATAAATGGTTAGATAGACTCAAAAAGTTTCATGACCCTTGTCAATGAACTTCCACGTGTGTCCCCTTCGTCGCTCGGAGAATATCAAGTCGATAGTCAATTTCACACCAGGTAGCTTTCTTTTTAACAGAAAAGACAGTCTCATCAGTCGTATACTTAGACATGTTAGAAAACTTCGCACTTCCACAACTAGAAGAGTTTCAGCCACATATCTTTTTGCAACAAGATGGTGCACCACCTCAATGGGGTATCATCGTTCGTAGTTCTTTTAATGACCATTTTCCAGGAAGATGGATTGGGCGAGTAGGTCCAATTCCTTGGCTACCCAGATCACTTTATATAACGCCGCTGGACTTTTTTCTTTGGGGATTTAAACTCATGTTTGTGAAAATTGCAACACCATGAAGGACTTACGCGAGTGAACTGAAATTTTCAGGAAATGCAAAGTAGAGCATAATATGCAAATGATTAGAATTTCAGATCCGTAGCGCATGCGTATGCTGAACAGCGCCCTCTGAACGGCGGATGGATCCGAATAAATAGACGGCTCTATCGAGGCGTTTANCAATAGCCTCTGTGGATGCCGACATGCTTGCCGCTACCTGGCGTGAAATTGACTATCGACTTGATATTCTCCGTGTGACGAAGGGGGCACACGTGGAAGTTCATTGACAAGGATCATGAAACTTTTTGAGTCTATCTAACCATTTATGTTATTAATGTTAATCTATCTTTATGAGTTATTAAGCATCAAAATGGGCCCGGGACTTTATAAACACCGTGTATAATTTGAAATTAATTATACCTGAGTACAAAAGATTTTCTGAAGCAAACGAAATGCTCTAAACTAATAATAATAACAAAAATGTATATTAGAGCCAATTTATACCTATTTGCCTTTTTTACAACATTATGTTTTTCAAATGGGGTACACGTGCTGTCATTTTCATCAATGAAATAAAAAAGAAAAGTAATTTGTCAAAGAAAAAAACAACAACTACGGCTTACAAAGTATTTGATTAAAATATTTAATTTTAGAGACCTTACTCTAGTAACGTTAAAATAAAGTAAGTTTAATGATTTATGTCGTTATTAGTACAGAGACCTACAAACAGGGCCTGATTATAGCCTAGGCAAGCGTTTCTCAACCTTTCAGTATTCACGGCCCAGTTTTCAATCATAATTTTCATCACGCCCCCCGCTTGTAATAAAATGTATACAACAATAATGTATATTGAGTAAATAGGATTCTGTCTTAAAATTATTTTTAACTAACTGCCAAAACAAAAAAAAAGTAAAAGCCAGCAGCAATTGAGATTGTAGAAATTACGTTTGGAGATAATTTTTCAAAACACTTGCACTCCATACCTCTTTTAAATGATACTGTTGCTCGTCGAATTGGCGATATAGCTGAATATGTACAGTGTCAGGTTTTCTCGAAGTTGCGTGACAAATTGTTTTCAATACAGCTTGAGGAAGCAACAGATAGTAATAAAGATGCTCATTTAATTGCTTATGTTCGATTTTGTGTTAATATGTCAGTAGTAGAAGAACTAATCAATAGAACAAACCAATAGAAATCAAAACAACAGCGCTCGCATTATATGCTATTTTAAATGATTTTATGAACGAGGCAAACATATAATGGAAAAATTGCGTCGGAATATACACTGATGGTGCTCGCTCATTGTCCGTAAGATTAGAAAGTATACAAGCACTGGTAAAATAAAAATCTCTTCAATTCGTCTGGACAAATTTCATGATCCACAGAGAAGTTTTGGCTTCGAAACAAATGAGTCCTGGTTTAAATATTGTTTTAACTACGGTTGTAACCGTAGTAAATTATTTTGAAATGAGATCCCTGAAATCGAGAATCTTTTCCGTACTTTTTAAAGACATGGGTCCAGTACATTCAGTGTTACTATTTAATTGCGAGGCAAGATGTTTATCAAGTGAGAAATTTTTGCAACGTATTTATGAATTACCAATTTTCCTAGAAGAAGAAAACAGACCGAAAGCCGAGAATTTTCGTGATGGTTTATTTGTGATTAAATTGAGCTACTTGGTCGCCATATTTGAGAAATTAAATAACCTGAATCTTCAACTCCAATGAGCAAATTCACATATGTTGGATACTTTGGATGCTTTTTGTAGAAAATTGGAATTGTGGGGCAGAAATTTAAAGCAAAAAAACCTAACAATGTTTGCATATGTAGATGATTGTATTAGAACTTATAAGGCTGAAAAAGAGCATGTAAAAGTTGTTTTTGTAACCATTGAAAATCATTTAGACATGATGGCAAATAATTAAAACAAGTGTTTTCTTGCTGACGGCTGACTGATAGCAAGTTACGAGTGAATTCATTTCATAAGACTCCCGAAGGACTGTCAATTGATGAGGAAGAAAAATTCATAGCATTCAAGGCAAGTGGTGAAACCAAAAGACAATTTAGTAATAAATCACTGTTTGAATTTTGGGCAGAAGTAGAGGATGATTTTTCTACATGAAAAATAAGGGCATTTCGCATTCTATTACCATTTTCTACATCCTACCTTTGTGAAACTGTATTTTCTGTTGTGGCTTCTTTGAAGACAAAATATAGATCTCGGCAAAATATAGAAACAGAACTGAGAGAGGCTATTTCTGATATTAAGCCTTCCTTCGAAAAACTTGAAAGACTGGAAGTCACTAATAATTATTAAATTTGTTTTTAATTTAATATGTTTTGATTAAGTAAGATGGGTGAGCCAAAGTTTGCAGTGCTCCTAACGTAGTCCACCCCTCAAATATAGAATTAATTTAATTTTGAATCACAAGATAGCTCTACTGCATTGTAAACCTTGTGTCTGAGGTGCACGTGGCTGAATTGGAATAATGTTTTGACGTTCTCTGCATTTTAGTATATTTTGCGATATTTTGTTTCAAGTTTTTTGTTTTGTTTGCATTTTGAAAGTATTTTTTCGGGTATCATTTGGTATTTTTGTGGTAGTTATTGGTGTTTTTGTGGTAGATTCTGGTATTTTCTTGTAAATTTGAGTATTTTTATACTAGTTATGGGTTAGGTTAGTTAACTTTAGTATGGTAAGTCAACTCTTACTAACTAGTTATGGTCAGTTAACTCTTTTGAAAGAATTAACTAATTAATTCTTGATTAATTCTTTATTCTAATGGTCCTCTTGATTTCTTCAAAAGAATCGATAATGACGTCACACATGAGCTATCAATGTAAATGATACATAAAAAAAATAATGCACTCCAAAAACAAATATCTTTTTTAAAGTCGCGAAAGTTGTCCCTACCAGCAAGACACTTAAAGTGTCTTTTTAAAAGACGTTTGCCAGTCCGAGTGTCTTTTCTAAAGACAATTTGAGTAAGTGAAAAAGTGATTTCAATATATTGCCCACCTTTGGAACCAGTGGGAAACCGCAGAAGTGGTGAAGAAAGCACAGAGGAGTAGAAGGAAGTTAGGCGCAGAAGGTATAATTTTGAAATTGTACTATAAAATAAATGAAATTTTATTTTACAACTAAAAGTATACGTGATATGTATTAGAGATAGGTGTAAGACGTTACAAAAAAATTTCAGCTTCTCTGACTTGACCAGAAAATTTGGAAAAATCCTCAAAGCAAAGTCACCTTTGACTACCCACCTTAAATTTTGATTTAATAAGTTGTTGTTTTTTTACTTTAATAAGTTATTAAATATGTCCAAAAAAATTTTTCTATGTGCATGTGCGCTTTCCTTTCAGCCAGTAAATCAATTTTTTCAAGTTATATTTTCTCTTAGATATTCTCGCGCCACCCCACTAGTGTGCTCGCGCCCCCCTAGAGGGCGCGCCCCACAGGTTGAGAATCGCTGGCCTAGGCCAAATAGGCATGAACCTAGGGCCCATAATTTCTGAAGGGGCCTCAAAGATTAGTAAAATATCAAATGAGAAGTGGGATAGCTTTATGTTGGTTTAAGTACTAAATATAAAATAATTACTACTTACAATAAAAAAATAATTCAGCTAATCAGTGACTTTTAGCAAAAATCACTGATTTCAATTGTTTGCGGTCATCAAACTACTTTAATTATAGATACGTAAACTTTATCGTAGAAAAATAATCTTCAATTGCCTGCTTTCAAAATTTCTTAGAATGTTTATCTTGAATCATGCAGTTTAATAGATTCTTTTCTATTGTTAGGACTAATTACTCAAAATATTACGAAAACTTCAGTAATTTAATTTCAAAATATTTTGTAAGTGGGCCGGAGAATTTGGCGGGCCTTGGGCCTGAATTTGTCTTGATCGGTCCCTGCTTACAAATCATAGATATTGCTAATAGCGTAAAAATTGCTGTTATGAAAGAGAGTACATAAAGGTTTTCTGTTATGAGAGATGAGAAGAAGGATAGAAATACCTTGTATTTTCTAATCTTCATTTGGTACTCGATTATAGGGCTGTAAGACTTGGCTGTCCACAATAGTAAGAAGCTATCTTCACCTGAAGCTGTGCCTCGAATCTGGATGGGCTCCGCCAAACCTATAATAACCACAAATAAATTCTCCCCTTTTTTTCTTCTTTTCTTTAAAATAAGCAATGACAGATAATTATAGTGGTTTACAGAACTTAATGCCTTTAAAAGTTAGTAACTATGAAATACTGATTTATCGTTTCTCCTACACAGATTGTGCCAATTTTTATTTTCTCATATCGAATGATATTTTGGACAAGTTTGGTTCTATTTACTTTGTTAGTTTTTTCATTGACAAAAAACAAAAAACTATTATCCCCTTAAATTGTTTTCACTAGTGTATATAATCATCAATATACAACTTTAGATCACAACTAAGAGAAACGCATTTACATCTAGTAGTTTAATTTGCGGGAACGGAAATTTTTAGTTTCGTGGACTAGATTTTTAAATCTTTTTTATGGGGGATACTTTCTGAATTTTATTTTTTGGGGGGGGGGGATTATACTTTATTACCCAGTTCATTATATCTTTAACTTAAAATTTATAAAAGAAATAAAAGCACATTCATAACCACTGTGTTGGTGGATACTGAAAAGAAAAGTTTAAATCATCAAAATGAAAACAAATAATGAGAGAAAAACTCAATGGGGAAGATTTTCCAGTGATTTGCTTGTATTTTGAAATTTTACACAAATATTTGAACATTTAAAACTTTATATCTTACTCTAGGTTTGCCTGAGCTAATTTTATCTATATTTTAAATTTTAAAGGGAGGTGAAGCAGAATTTGCTATAAAAAGTTTCTCGCGTGATATAGCGTCCTCTTAAAGCTCGAGGGGTGAGCGAGGAAGCAATATATCACGTTAGAGCCCCTGAATTTTGATATTTGTAGTGGTTTGTGTGATTTAATGACTGCTGGGTGGACTTTAAGTAATTAATAAAATTCAATACTTTAATAATTAAGGCAATACCGAAGGCATCTTTTGAGAATGGTTGAAAACAAAATACTTCCGCGGACGCAAAGCCGAGGACAACAGCTAGATGGTGAAAAGTTTGGCTAATATATATTTTTTAAAACTATTGTAATTACTGTATTAGGATTGGAGGAGGTATTGAAGAGTATTTAAATACAATTGTGATGTGCATTGGTTGCCAATAAAGTTTTTATGTTGTACAACATAATTTTAAAAGGTAACCAAGCTGGTCGCCAAAGGAAACTAGCAAATGATAATGTACTATTATGGGAGATATAACTAAAAAAATATAAAATTTTAAGAATTCCTTTCCACACACTTCAAATTAATCTTCGTACATACAGTATTTTTTAAATATCTTGTAGATTTAATTAATGACATTAAATCTGGGCTAAACGGCCTGAATGGAATGATGGTTTGTTAAATTGGTTTAATTCTTAAAGAGAACAACACATCAGTGTGTCGGTTTTACGTTGTGAATCTTAAAGGGACGTTTCATTTCCACGATTTTTTTCCCAATGCTTATTTTTTTTCTGAAAATAACGTTTTTCGAAATATTTCTTACTGTGACTACAATTTAGATAGATTATAGCATAAAACGTGTAGTGTAAATCAAAATTTTAAATGTATTTTTGTTGATTGAGTTTTTTTTAAGTTGTGCAGTTTTTTTTAATAAACAAATAACAAGAAAACATTCATACTTTAAAAATGATAACAAAAATAAATAAACATTTCCATTCATTGTTCCAGCTGTAATATTAGATGCGATTTTTAAAATTAACATTATTGACATCCCATTTGCTTTTTAATTGCGCAAATTTTTCTAAAAAATAGTACATTTACAATCTGAGATGATAATTTGTTTGAGAAAATCAAGTATTCAGTGTTCTACTACACCATTCTTATTCATAATAGAGGATTAATTTTTCCTCTCAGAGGAAGAAGTAAAAAAGAAAATATTATTACTTTCGATTGAGTTAAACGAATCGAAGTTCAATCGACGGAGTAGGTATATTATAATAGTAGGCCTTTCCATCGAAAGTTTAAAATTAATAATTGAACTTAAATGAATTATTTCTGATTCATACAAGCCTGTCCATAAAGTCGTTTATTTGTAAGGCCTTTTCTTTAACGTTTAATTACATACATTTAAACTGTATGAGTGTCCTAAGTAATTTTTTATGCTATCTAGATTCATCTGATACGTCACCTTCCTTGTTCGAATCGCAAGAGTAAAAAAAACAAAACACATTCCTGTGGGAAAAAATCATGATCCGCCCCCAATTTTTTTTGGTAGTTTCAGAGGAGACAGAGAGTAGACTCATTTAAAGGTAATGGGAATCAATATACCTTTGATTCCTGATCTTCAGAGTGTTACTTGGATCGTATTGCAGCAGAAGGCCTCCATCGCAAATATGTGTATTGAGTGACCAGGTAGTCACCTTGTTGTTGAAATACGAGAAGTGATAATGATGAATATTTTATGAACTAGTTCGCCTCACTGATTATTATTTTTTCTTATCTTTTTATCGAGCATGATTTTATATATATATATATATATATATATATATATATACATGTTTTACGTCAAATAACTCGAGACGTTACATNTATATATATATATGTTTAGGAAATATTTTGAGCAGTTTTATAGCCTTTCTCATAATTTCAGTCTTGTGGTCTTGACCAAAATGGAAAGAATATCTTAAATGAAATTAATTTTAAAAAATAAAAATTATAAAAAATAATAATTAATAAAAAGAATTGAAATTAATTTTAATGTAATAACTAAAGTAAATATTAAAAATTTAATGAAATTTAAAATTTAGTTGAACTTTTAAAAAAAAAATATTTCATCTTATTTAACGAGTTTACTTTTTTGTAACTACCTATAAGTAAAAATCACCTTTTTTTTCAATTGTTTAAAGCTGACGGGTAACAGGGGGTTGATATTTTCACACTTTTCATCAATGATTCAAAATCGTGTTGAATCAGGAAAACAGATAGCTGCTTTTCGTAAAAGTGGTCTACTATGATTCTATAGAAATCGTGTGTTTGAATAATCTAAATTAAATAGCTTGATTACCAAAATAATTTTTCCTTGATTCTTAAAAATAGTGTACTCTTAGTGGCTTCAATTACATTAACTTCTTGAAAATATCAGTAAGAACTTTTGAAGATATTGCAGATCGCTTCTTAATTAAAACTGCAAGAATTGATCAAACTAATCGCTTCTTTCAATGCAATGATCTCAATCTCTTTTTTTTTCCTTCTAATTTTCCTTGATTAAAATTCTGTTTCAAAATTTTCTTCTCCGCAAAAGTTAATTAATATATTATGGATTGTTGAGAAATCCAAAGGAAGAATTCTCGATATTAGTTCATATAAGTTTTAACATTCGACCGCCTAATTAAAATAATCCACTTTTTTTTCTTCATCGAAAGCAGAATATTTGATTGTATATCTATATAAAAAAACAACAAAAAAACATTTTGTTACTTTTTTGAGATTATATTAAATACATAAAAATTTAATAACTCTAATAATAGTTTGAAATTTTAATTAGGATCAAAATTCCCCCCCCCCTTGTTTGCATTTGTAATGATTTAATTACGATTTGTTTTACTTTGTATTGAAACGTGATTATAAACTACTTAATTGCTTTAAAACTGATTCGAAATTTCTACATTTATTTCATTCATTTGCAAACATAAAAGTAAAAGACAGCGTAGGCAGGATTGATGCATTCACTACGGGATCTCCACACTCGTACACGTTGATCACTGCACAAAATAAATCTGGATTCCTCACTGAAAATGTCTTAGTTCCAAGGTTTCATTCGGTTACAGTCCGACCTCGTCGAGAGCGATATCACTGCAAAAGGGAGCAACTGTAGGTTGATATAGATCCTGACTACAATGTACAGCAGCTTAGTGCGATTGGGTGCTATCGCATAAGTCACAATATCACCCCTAATATTGACCCAAGGCACCATGTTAGCCCAGCTGAACGTTTGTGACATCTTTCAGTCACATGTGCTGCTACGAATGGCAGGGCTCTCATGAGCCATTTTTGAACAGGATAATGCTCGATCATCATACGCAGCACCACTATAATTCCTCCGCCACATTACCACCTTTCCCTAGCCTGCTTGACCCCTAGATTTGTTATCAAAATGAGCATATCAAGGGCCACTTGGAACGGCAAGAGTTTAGTCGATTTAGTAGTGTTTTTACAGCAACTATGGAACGAGATACCGCATGACATCATAAGAAACTAGTATGTCTCATTCTCCAACCACATTGCATCTTGCATTCGCACAGGAGGTGGTCCCACTAAAACCTCCATTCATTTATGTGTTTTTTTCTGTTATAAATGATTTTTTTGCTTTGATTTTTTAATCGCGTTCATATATCGATGTTGTACTTGCGTCTGTAAAGTTTCGTTCCTTTCCGACTACTCTTTCTAGATGCGCTAATTTTTATGTCAATGAGTACTGCTACAAGGGAATTAAAGAGGTGTAAAAATTTTTCCCCGCAAAATTATTAATTTTTTCTTCCCGATCCTTAGTTCAGTGGCCCTATCAGCAATCACCGATTAGCCAACCTGGCCTGAGTAAATATAAATATATCCATTTACTGAGCAAACATATGACAAACGATACAACATCAGTAATACGCATTTTAAAAAAATCCATGGCTGACATTCATGCTATGTTTCAAAAATACACCTAAAAATATTTTTTACATTTGGAACAGTAAACATAAAATTATCTTCAAACCTGTTATAATTTACCGAAAAAAAATTCTGATTTATTGCACTAGCTTCTTATGTTCAACCAAAAATAAGTAAAATTGAATTAGAAACAAGAATAAGTTTTGCAAAAATGTACCTGAAATTTCCACTGCCTTCCAGACTTGTCCAACGGCATTCTTTCCTAAGCATGTGTAGGATCCCAAATCCTCCCTGCGCATGCGCTGAATTTTTAACAAAGATTCAGCCATAGTAGGAAGTGTCATTTTTTCTCTAATTTTTATTCTGTCATCATCTGTGTGCAGGTATCTCTCGTGTTTCGGATCCCCTCTCATCCAC